GTCCTCGTGGTCCTCGCCGTCGTCGTCGTACTAGTACCAGTTCCAGTACCAGCACCAGTAGTAGTAGTAGCAGTAGTAGTAGTAGTAGTAGTAGTAGTAGTAGTAGTAGTAGTAGTGGTGGTAGTAGTGGTGGTGGTAGTAGTAGTAGCAGCCCCTAAACCCTAAACGTAGTAGTAGGAGGATACTTTAGGGCTGTCTCCCTTGGAGCTCTTTTTGTTTCAGATCCAGCAATTGAAGAGGAAGCTTTGCACTACGAAGGTCTGCGGCTCACTTCTCAGCCTGCCGACGAAGAAGAAGACATGCTCTAAGTCGTCGTCGTGGCCATAGGGCTCATTGTAGACCACCAGCAAAGACGGGCTGTAGCAGCAATGGCGCATAAACGCAGTGATCTTCTCCACATATTCTTTGAAGCCTTCTGGATGTGCTCCTGCCTTAGTTGCTGAGCCCATAGGCCCCAGAAAATGTACGTTTTCAGCTCTATGAGGGCTAATATTTTCCCAAGAAGTGTAAGATGCACTTATTCAGCGAATTCAGCGAACCAAGCTGCTTTATCATTTAGATCGAGCCAAACATCAAGGACTCCAAGCACCTGGTCTGTGGACAAGGGCACATTCTGCATGTTGCGGTGAGTCAGCGCCCACTCCAACAGCTCCGACTGGAGTCTCGGGAACTCATTGTAGGTGTCGAATTTGTGCCACCTACGAAAAATATCCGCAGGATCCCAAGACATATCGACCATGCTACGCAAGAAGTCCTCTGCCTCAATCATGGGCGGCTCCCGCTGCAGAAACGCAACCGCATCCCCAGTCACGACAGCCTCGTCTGGGAGTTCTTCAGCACCGGCAATAATCCCCTGCAGGAAAGCCGGAATTCCTGGGCTTTGACGTAACCCAGGAGAAAAATAATATAGACTTTTATGTCATAATAGTTCCATTATGGACCAGGTTGCAAACAAGTATTAAAGTATGGTACTCCAGAACCCAGATTCCAAGGCGGGGCTCCAGGCACTGCTTCACCTGGGTTGCTTTTACGGAAATTAATTAAGTTACCCTTCTGGGGATCTGTAGAAACTAATGGAGCTTCCTTACTCTAACCGTTTGATTTATGTTCCTTAACAGCAACCCAGTCACTTGAGCAACTGTGTACGGGGCTGGTACTTTGATCTGCACCACCTGGCCCGACAGCATTTCAACCGTCAGCTGTTTCCCTTCGCTGGTCTCCTCGGTCTTAGCGGCCTCGTCCTCCTTTGGAAGCGTGATGGCTGGGATCTTCGCATCGTCTATGAAGTATACATCGTTGCAAATGTTCGTCTTCGTGTCTATTTCGATCTCGAGTATGTGCTGCCAGTGTGGCGCAGCTTCTGCCCAGTTTCTTAAGGTGTCACAGATGTAGTCCCGGGTGATGTCGCCTTCGGGTATGAAGCTGCTTGTTGCTGTCTCGTTCATGGCTCCAAGTAGACGGAGGAGCTCTGCTATGATGGTTCTTTGAAGGTCTAAGGGGGCCCCAGGCTCGTAAGGGCCCGTTTAGGGTTTTGGGTGAACGCCTCTGCAAAAGGAGCCACTTGCTATTCTGCCTGAAGCTTTTGGCAGCTTGAGAAAAACCCTGGCCGGGAACGCCTGTCTGTTTGCCTGCGCTCTGCCAGATTTCTCGGCACTTTCATGATATGTGCTTGAGGTCATGAACGGTTTAGTTTAGGCTTTCAGGGTTCCATGAGGGGGAAAGACATCATTGCTTTTGCGATAGGGGTTCCTACGCACGATGAAGCATTGCTAGGCAAACGGGCGATGTAACTGAACATATGTAGGAACCTGATTAAGAAAGCCTGGTCCTACAACCCCAAAATATTAAGGTTCATATATAGAACCCTAGTCAAGGCCCAAGATTTCTTACTGAGGTTTCCATATCAAAACAAAAGCTAAATCCGTATCTCACAGAGAACTTGAAGCCTAGAGCTGATATCCAACATGAATCTCCCAGCCCTGAAAATCATCAGCATTGCGTTACTTACTTGTCCAATATCCTCGGGGAACTAAAGGATACAGTAGAAGCCAAAGATACAGGACGTTGTTGTCGTGTATGGTGAGAGTCTCGGGTTTGCCCTGTTCATTTGCCGCAATGTTGCTGACTACTACCTCAAAAAGGGTAGTCCAGTATGACTAGAGAACAGACTTTTCGCTATAGATAGGAAGCCAGGATCTCATGTAGTTGAGTCTTGTCAGCAGTCTGGCTGCAGCTGCATACGACAAATCCGGTCGGAGTTGCATAAAGTATTGCTGCAGTTCATTAGCGCAGATACATGCGCTTGGTTTAGGGTTTGAGGGTTTTGACATCGTACACTTCCCGATTTTTGCGTGTCATCCTTGCGCAGTTTTAGGGTTTAGGGTTTGGGGTTTAGGGGTCGTAACAGCTAGAATCGAGTTTGGGTTGGCAAAAGAATAGTTACATGGGTAGTCCTCTAAATTAGGGCCCCTTTTCGGGTCCTATTCAGAGAACTACCCAAAAAGGGAAGGATAAGCTCTCGGATTTATTCGACGTCTACATTGGACCATCTCGGGAGCAAGCGAAGAGCGGATCTTTTACCCTAAACCCTAAACCTTAAACCCTAAACCCGAAGAGCGGATCTTTGTCATTAGCCTTCAGACTGACCGGTGAGCGCTTTGGAGCTGACGCCACTGCCGCGTCATGGTGGTCAGAAATGCCACGATGGTCTCCTGGGGAGGAACGGTTTAGGGTTTAGGATTTCACGCTTTTTCGGGTTGAGGGTCCTAGTTTTACGAGATGTTCTGGTATGTTCTGGTGGGTTTTTTGGAATACACTCTGTGACAGTCACAGGGGTCCTACAAGGGGGAGTAGGATGCACATGTGATGTGAACCCGGCGGCAGCCTTTCTCCTCAAGCGCCGGAAACGTTCGCTGGCCGGGCATCTCTCGCAGAATTTCATGAAAACCTCGTGACAAGCCACTAGCCCCACAACATTATGGGTTTTAGTAACTGCATGATGCAGAAGCATTCGCATCTGAGATCCGAAATCGTGTCGGGGGGTGAATACCCCCGTTTCGACTCGAAAGCTCTGGTTGGTGTGGCTTGGGGCTACATCTGCCATCAAAGTAGTAAAACTGATGCCTTCAGACCGAGATGACACCCAGACCCCTGTGAGGTCCAACGCTAGAGCTGCGGTAAGTGGAGTCGTCATCCTTGGCTTTGAACTTTGCACCCCTCCTAAGAATAATAAAGATGATCCTTCCCCGGCAACTGAACACCAGTGCTTGAAGGTTCGTGGGTGACGATAGGTATGGATGCACATTAAGCAGGGCTATATGTAGTCATGAGTGTTGCTGCCCTGATTATGGCCCCTGATCCCCCTTAGCTCTGAACCCCCAAACCCTAAACCGTAATTATGATCCTGCTTACTATGTCCCCTGATCCTCTAAATACACATAACCCAGGAGTACTGGCTCAACATCGAAAATAGCTTTCAACCTTCGAGAAGCAAGGTTGAGGGTTTAGGGTTCAGGGGTAGGGCTTAGGGTATTGGCCACATGTTATCCAAAAAGCTTTTGTTTCAGCCGCGACCAAACCTAGGCCGTTCCCTTCGGCCGGGCTTTGCCGCACCTAGGACTCTCTAATCTACGGCGAACGCTTTCTGAAACAGCAACTAGCACTGTAAGGAAGCCTCAACCCAAAGCTTTTTGACACACCTTAGGAGTAATAAATATTTTTCCCTAAACCCAAAACCTAGACCTTTGAACCATAAACCCTAAAACCCTAAACCCTAAAAGCCCCAACTGCCCAAAATCCTAGACCTTTGAACCATAAACCCTAAAACACCAAAGCCCTAGACATCTTAACCCACCCAGAGCTTGCCTCTGCCTTACTTCGTGCGCAACGCTCACGCTCGACATCAGCGCCTCAAGTAGGCATGATTGAAGGCTTTAGGGTTTTAGGGTTTTAGGGTTTAGGGATTTAAGGGTTAAGTGTTTAGGGTTTGCCGTGGAATCGCGCGTAGGCGGTTGTATCTCACGACAAGGTTGTGTCGAGTGCATCGAATTGTGGGGCGATGAGAGGTGAAAGCCTGTCTTTGGAAGGCTTTTCCTTCTGTCTCTCCCACCCCTGGCCATCCAAGGCGGCCAAACCACCCAAACCTATTACTTTTCGTTTAGGCCTAAACTAACGCCAGTTTTCTCCTTGCAGACAGGGCAGGAAGGCAGGGCAGGGCAGGGGGGTTGGGCCGGCAGGACAGGGGAGGCAGGGCAGGGCAGGCATAGCCCAGGCCAAAACCACAGTACGACGTGGGTGCTACGGCCTTATGGCTGTGGAGAGGCGGGCTGGCGTATTGATCGGCCTTTCGCGATCGGTTGCGAGTGGCTTAAACGCCGCCCACCCACAGTAGGTGGGCGGCCTATGCCTTGAGTTTAAGGTTTAAAGGTTGAGGGTTTAAGGTCTCGACTCACACACTTGCCAGGGTTTAAGGTTTAGGGGGTTCTTGGCTGCAAGGGCTGGGGGTCTGGAGTTAGAGCATTAGATTTCAGGGCTTTGAGCTTTCAAGTTGAGAAGAATCGAAAGTAGAGGCAAAGCAAAATAACGAAAGATGCGCATGTGCTTCGGTAAACCGCAATCTCTCTACAACCGCTGTTGCCCCGCTTGACCCTAATGAACAGTAGGGGCCGTAATCGCTAGAGACTATAAGACAGTGACCATGACCTTAACATTAAATTAAACACCATAATTATGCATAGCTGGCCATGAACCTGTTTCGATCTTGGGCTGCAGAACCGGAGGTGTATATAAACTCAAGCGACTGCCATTTCGTGCTCTGCAGTATGACGAATACAACTACAATGTAGTCTCTAGACTCTCGACCGCTGACATCTTCTTGCATCAAACCTTTAGCCCTAAACCCAAACCCTAAGCCCTAAACTTGTGAAAAGGTGGCGTCGCGGGGGGGTTTCGGATCATATTCCTCGCTGCTTGCATCCTGCGGCAGTGCGTGCGAGTTCGCCAAGTCTGCATCGCTGAACCCAAAAGTGCTGGAAAATGCTGGAAATTTATGTTCTATTCCGTACTATGGATACTGCAGGATTCTGTCCACCGGCAGTAAAAAGGGTCGCGGCGTGAAAACTAATCTTAGAACCTTGGAGAAGCCAAAGGGTGAGTTTCTGAGCAGAGCCCTTCAGCCTAAGGGCACGAACCCTCCTAGCCATGCTCCCCTCCACGAGATATTCCGACACTGGCAACTCGAATCCGAAACCCTTCCACCCACTTCCTAAGCCCCTGACCCGAAATCTTAAACCCTAAACCTTAAGCCCGAAATTCTAAACATGAGATCCCAGTCCCTCAAGCCTAAAATACTCAAATCCTAGGAGCCCTAAAGCCCTGCTTGGAGGTTCACGGGTACTTATAAGTAGGGTTATAAGTCCCCTAGGTATGGGTTATAAGCATAATTCCCCGACTTAAAACCCTACTTATAACTACCCATGAACCTCCAAGTAGATCCCTTCTGAGTGAGCTGCGTAGCTTTTGGCCTACCTCTGAGCACATCTGTAGCAGCGCCTGGCGGCTTAGACAGCTTCCTAAAAGAGCCGAGTAGCAGGGTTTAGGGTTTAGTAGTGTCGGGTTGTGGGTCCTCGTGGCCGCTCGACGAGAAGCAAAGCCAGGAGCCCCTTGCGGGTCCCAGATCGCCTGGGGGTACCCCGCAAAAAAGGGCCTGGAGTAATTAAGGGTTCCCCCCCAGACCCTGCTAAACAGACCCCCAAAAAAACCGTGGCATTGTGTGAGGCGTAGCCGAGTCATTTCTATACCGGGAGGCTTTACCCTCCCTCACCGTTCTGTCGGGCAAATACGTGCATGTACGGCTACCCACCATTAACACCGTTTATGGTTTTGGTTCTCACACTCGAGGTTCTTGGTGCATAGTCGTTGAGGCGAAACACATCCAAGACTGTCGATATGGCCTATTCCAAACCACAGTACCTAGATTCCAGACAACTTTCAATCATCTTCGGATTGACTTGTCCAGGCATTCTTCATATTAAGGGCAAGGTAGGCGCTAACAGCCCGGTACCATACAAAGTAGGCTAACCGGCGGGACGAATCCGAGTTCGGGGTCGGGTGAAAGTAATTTAGGGGAATGACCAAAGCGCCAAGGCCGAGAACACCCAGGTACTATCGATCGGCTGACCAGTGGAACTGTTGTCAGGTTTTCCATTGTTTAAAAATTGGCTGAACGCAGAATAGGCCACAACTCGCGCTACCCCACTGCAAAAAGACCCGTAACATATCACAGCAGACCTCCTATACTGCACTTCTCACCCTATATTGCATAAAAACTGCCGGTCTCGTGTAATCAAGCTTCGAGCTCGGAAAACCCCACATGCAAGCTTTCGCAGCACCACGCCAGATCATGCTCCTTCGTCCTAGCAATGTGAACATCACCTGCCAAGCATGA